AGAAATTATCATCAGCCAGGGACAGCCAAACTGTTACAATGTCATGATCTGAGTACCATATTCTGAATTTAGTAATGTTTGAATCCCTGTAAAGATGAGCAAGGTAGTGAAACATCCCATCGTGTGAACAGGAAAACATGAAAGGTCTATAGCTAAGTGATAACACAGTTATAAGTAAGCTAAACAAGGATCTTGCATCATGAATCCTGGTGTTTCTGTGCAGAACACAGCTCACAAATGACATACAGTATCGTTTTTGGATTACGGTACTAAATTTTAAAGCTGTCATGTTAATATAAAAATTTTATTTTCGAATGGTTTCTTAGGGCAGTTTCATATCAGCAAGTAGAGAAGCTTGTCTGGGGCTATACGGTACCACTACCAGCAGTTCAACAAGGTATCCCCTTCCTTGCTGTGCATACGCCAAAATACGGTTTCTGTCTAGCTTATGTGAACAATGTTGTATCTTGCCGAGTTATTTTTTTAAAACACTGACACCATGCTTGAAACTATGGTAGTAGTAAAAAACCGTCCAGAATTTCCATAGGGATGGGGGAAACAAGTTGTCAGTGACAGTTAGAAAAATCCAGAGGGATGGGGGTTCATAAAGTAAATCTCTTCCATTAGGGGGGGGGGGTATTGCCTAGAAATACACATTGAAATACTTACTCTGGTTCACTCTTTCCCTTTGGTATACAGAGTGGTATAATTTTGGCAGCCTTTTATTTGGGTTTTGTAACTTAAACCAGCAAGTTTTAACACTCAATGGTTCAAACACCCAATATCAAATGCTGGATGCTCAGTTAAGCAGCGGTCATGCATGTTCCTTCCAGCATTATTTCCTTACCAGGTTCACATAAACAACGACATTCATTGGGTTTTACCACAAAGACCAGGACACAGTTGCCACATTTACACCTATGGACCATTAATATATATTGAAGTATACAATTGGAGTATATTTCCCACAACTTTGTGTAAATTAATGTTTTCTTACGTGAGTAGGATTTCCAATTTGGCAACACAGTCATCTTTAAGCCATCTCTCATTGAAGACGTTTCGTGCAATTACGGAAGTGACAATAACATTTTATAAGGAGATCAGTAACCATTTGTTTTGTTTTACATGGCCATCACATGTTTGTTTCATGTCACAAATATAACCAAAACGTAAATAAATACAATCCAAAACGTACCAGATGTCAGTTGAGGTTTCACCAGACAATCTAGCAGACAGTGTTTGCTGCTTTTGCTCTCTCTCAATTATAGTACTCTTCATGTATTATGTTTCTCCAGTGGCAAGAATTTCGACTGAAGTATCATAGGCCTCGCACAAATCCACACTTTTCTCCATATTTATATCACCCCCGCTATCATAAGAAACGTCTTCGGCAAAGAGAGAGTTAGCAAGATGATTGTGTTGCAAAATTGGAGCTGTGGCTTTCGTCAGAAGACATAATTTTGAACAAAAAACAGCCTAGTATAAGCCTTTGATAATGTTAATTTATCCTTCAGGAAAGAAGCGTGTTGAGTAGATGACGTCACAGCGCTTAACCGCAGGTCGGATTTTGCAGGCTATAATAACTTAATGGCGGACGAATTTTTCGTAAAATATTTTGTTTTTGAACAGTTCTTAAGAGAATTAAAAATCAAACTGATTGGTTTTATTTTCATATTCGGGTAAGTAAATGTTATTACTGTCTGTTACACATTTAAAATCGAACATGATTTGGGATGATACTGCCCCTTTAAGGTCCAAGTTAAGCTAAACACGAAACTCCCTGATCCTGGGCAATGGGGGGGGGGGGAGGAGCTGTGAATATAAATACTATTCTTTAAGGAGGGCGCGTGAAAAATATTTGGAATTAAGAATGAAAGGCCATGAAAAATAACACGAGGTCAGAAATATTTTCCGCATTACCTCCCGGCGTTAAAAATGACTGCTCCTTTAAATTGTAATAAAAACCACTGTAACATATGGAGCAAGGAGTTTTGTAATATAGCATTTGTAAATTCTGAAAGCTGATTGGCTTACAGCCGTGTTGATATAACTCAATGTGAACACGGAAAATTTCTTTGTGCTCTATTATAAAAATATATCCGTATTGATATACTGTCATATCAACACCCGTGGAAATTGGGAAAACTCGAAATTGTGTAAAAACACTCCGCCCTTCGGGCGTCGTGTTTTCCACACAATTTCCCATTTTCCCAATTCCCACTCGTATTGATATACAGTAACTCTATATCATATCAACACGGAAAATGTTTTTATATTTGTTAAATACATAATAATTAAAATAGTAGGCCCGAAGATTCCAGTAATGGTACTGGAATGTGAATCATACATGAATAATTATCCCTTCAGGGGATGACTTTGAAATAAGGTGAACAATAATAATATACTAAGTAGTAACATAGGTACCGATCGATCCGGATTTTTGCGGTGGTGGTGGCGGTGGTGGTGCGGTGGTGGTGCGGTGGTGGTGGTGGTGTGTGGTGGTGTGTGGTGGTGTGTAGTGGTGTGTGGTGGTGTGTGGTGGTGTGTGGAGGTGTGTGGTGGTGGTGGTGGTGAAGTGTGGTGAAGTGTGGTGGAGGTGAGGTGGAGGAGTGTGGTGGAGGTGGTGGAGTGTGGTGGAGGGTGAGTGAGGGTGAGGTTGCACTAATTAATTAACATACGTCATAATTATACGCATTGACGTAACGCTGGCCTGTCCGGGCGAATTTGGACAAAACTTAATTAGCGTCTTAATTAGCGTCTGTCCACGTGTGTGATACAATAGAGGGATTATGAATAGTTCGTATCCCTCGCATGGCAAAATTTTTATCGAAATTAATATATAGCAGAGTTATAGCCGTATCTTTGCTCGGAAAAGAAAAATTTCCACAGGTATATTGAAGGATTTTTCGTATGTTACATAGCGAGGAATCTATTCGTCACAAAAATCAAGACATATTTTAAACTAAATAGTTGCTAACCCTGGGTTATCAACGTCGTTGCTATGGTCAATATATATTTGCATGTTGTTCAACATTATTTAGCAATCCTCCTACATACATATATACTGTTAAGATGTTCATAAGAAAGCTTATCAAGAATAGAAGTTAGAATTAGAACAGTTGTAATATTTTTTGACACTATCGTCTGTTATTTGTATCAATCAACATGTTTTAAACTTTGCAAATTTGCGTTATTATGCGTTGCGAAGTCATTAGGAGGCCTGTAGGTAATTAAGGGGATTAAGATAATACGAATTTGCATAACTAAGTGTATCCGGATGGATAGATAGTGATTATTTTTAACCCAGGTGTATACCTTAAAATCAGGCGCGTGGCTTTGCGGGTGCATGCATATATCAACGTACAACATATTTGTACACTAATCAGGAGGGCGGGTTGGACAAATCGCGCGGGCGGAAAGAGCGGGCTTTGCAGGTAAATGTTTGCACAATATTTCAGTTTTAAAATACATTTATTTCTTCAAAACGTTTTACAAAATTTAGTACGATCTGCTTCTAAGAGCATAACGTTAACGTTTAGGTGTTTTTGTTATTTTTAAAGAGTTCTCATATTCTTTCTATCTCCGGGGGATAACTTTGCAAGTTTCTCCGGCTTCATAGAAATATATTTTGGTCGGTCGCTCAATATAAAACGTAATAATCCTCTCTTGCTTCCGGAATCATTCGTGCTAGATCACGTTCGGTGCAATTTGCTGGGTCGGCCCAATTGTCGAAAAAGTTGCGCTTGAGTTTTGGCCGTTCCTTTCTGTCGGTGGTGGCGTAAGGAAATTAGGTTTTGGAGTAGCAGGCACTGGTGGTGCTATTTCCGCTGGTACAGGCGTAGGAGGCGCTTGTGTTGGTATCTCTGCAGACACTAGTGGAGTTGTCTGAACAGGAGCTTGAACCGAAACATCCATCATATTTTTGAATGTCAAAAACCGATTTAGTTGACCAGAGTATAATTTGCTTTTCTCCACTGCGCTAAGCTGTGGCGCTTCCATGATTTCTTTCATTCGCTGCTCGGCATCATACATGGCATTTGCAAGCGGTGGTTGACGATGCGACTGTTTGTGTAAAAACTCTGCAATCTCGCCCGGAAGTACATTGGTCTTTAGTCGTTGTTGATCGTCTGGTGTTGGCTTTAAATGCAACATCAAATACCCGTGAGGCCGGCTCGTAGCATCTTCATAACTCTTCATCAACTCTTGTACTTTCCCAGGATTTATTTGCCTTGCAAGCATAGATATTTGTTGTTTATCTCTTGGTAACTTGAACAACACGATATAGTGAGCATTAAGGCTGATATTTCCCATTTCTTTGCCCTGATGAAATATATTTTGAACAATATAGAAGATAGACAAATTTCGACGGTGACTTCCTTTCGTAAAAAGATCAGAAATTCGTTTATCTTTGCCAGATTGAGCCATAAGGTCGTCCAATACGATCAAATTCCGTTGAGATAACTTCAAGTTATCGGCGTCGTCGATGTCTTCGGGGTTACCTTGATTAAACTCGATTCCTGGCATCGTTCGCATCATATCAAAATAGGAGGGTTGCCATTGACCATAACACCAAATGATACGTTGAAGAGGCGGACTTATAGCTTTCTCTGCATTCTCCAAGAGAGATTTCATCCATACAGTCTTACCGCTTTGTGTACACCCTGCAAAGATGCATGTAAATGGGTGTGGCAAAATTGCAGATCCATTAGTCGCCATGTGAATGTTGTCGGTTGGTTTTTGATCATGTACTTTTCGTTTGCGTCGATGTAAATTAAACGGTTTAGAGAAATATTTTCCACAGATATGGCATGAATGAGAAATGTTTATTCTATGACGAATTGTTAGATAATATATCTTTCAAATAAAAACCGTGTTTATATAACACAAAGTCCAGCTAGTATCTCGGAGACAACTCCCTAGGCTCGGACCTAAGTTCCTCAGCTTCCGAGCTGAAGCTCTATAGGCTCGGAGCAAGCTCCTTAGGCTCGGAGCCGAGCTCCTTAAGCTCTGAGCCAGCTCCTTAAGCTCGGAGCCGAGCTCCTTAAGCTCGGAGCCGAGCTCCTTAGGCTCGGAGCCAGCTCATTAGGCTCGGAGCCGAGCTCGTTAAGCTCGGAGCTAGTTCCTTTAGCTCGGAGATAGCTCCTTAGGCTCGGAGCCGAGCTCCTTAAGCTCGGAACCGAGCTGCTTAAGCTCGTAGCCAGCTCCTTAGGCTCGGAGCCGAGCTTCTTAGGCTCGGAGCCGAGCTCCTTAGGCTCGGAGCCGAGCTCCTTAAGCTCGGAGCCGAGATCCTTAGGTTCAGACCCGAGCTTCTGATGCTCGGAGCCGGGCTCCTTAAGCTCCGGGCTAACTCCTTAAGCTCGGAGCAAGTTCCTTAAGCTCGGAGCTCGCTTCTTAGCCTCGGAACCGAGCTCCTTGCGCTCGGAGCCTAGCTCCTTAGGTTCGGACCCTAGCTCCTTAGATTCGGAGCCTAGCTCCTTAGGTTCGGAGCCGAACTCCTTAGGTTCGGAGCCGAACTTCTTAGGCTCGAAGCCGAGCTCCTTAGGCTCGGAGCCAGCTCCTTAGGCTCGGAGCCGAGCTCCTTAAGCTCGGAGCCAGCTCCTTAAGCTCGGAGCCGAGCTCCTTATGCACGGAGCCGCGCTCCTTAGGCTCGGAGCCAGCTCCTCAGGCTCGGAGCCAGCTCCTTAGGCTCGGAACCGAGCTCCTTAGGCTCGGAGCCGAGCTTCTTAGGGTCGGAGCCGAACTCCTTAAGCTCGGAACCTTACTCCTTAGGTTCGGAGCCTAGCTCCTTAGGTTCGGAGCCGAACTCCTTAGGTTCGGAGCCGAACTTCTTAGGCTCGGAGCCGAGCTCCTTAGGCTCGGAGCCAGCTCCTTAGGCTCGGAGCCGAGCTCCTTAAGCTCGGAGCCAGCTCCTTAAGCTCGGAGCCGAGCTCCTTATGCACGGAGCCGCGCTCCTTAGGCTCGGAGCCAGCTCCTTAGGCTCGGAGCCAGCTCCTTAGGCTCGGAGCCGAGCTCCTTAGGCTCGGAGCCGAGCTCCTTAGGGTCGGAGCCGAGCTCCTTAAGCTCGGAACCTTACTCGTTAGGTTCGGAGCCGAGCTCCTTAGGTTCGGAGCCAGCTCCTTAGGCTCGGAGCCAGCTCCTTAGGCTCGGAGCCGAGCTCCTTAGGCTCGGAGCCGAGCTCCTTAGGGTCCGAGCCGAGCTCCTTAAGCTCGGAACCTTACTCGTTAGGTTCGGAGCCGAGCTCCTTAGGTTCGGAGCCGAACTTCTTAGGCTAGGAGCCGAGCTCCTTAGGCTCGGAGCCAGCTCCTTAGGCTCGGAGCCGAGCTCCTTAAGCTTGGAGCCAGCTCCTTAAGCTCGGAGCCGAGCTCCTTATGCACGGAGCCGCGCTCCTTAGGCTCGGAGCCAGCTCCTTAGGCTCGGAGCCAGCTCCTTAGGCTCGGAGCCGAGCTCCTTAAGCTCGGAGCCAGCTCCTTAAGCTCGGAGCCGAGCTCCTTATGCACGGAGCCGCGCTCCTTAGGCTCGGAGCCAGCTCCTTAGGCTCGGAGCCAGCTCCTTAGGCTCGGAGCCAGCTCCTTAGGCTTGGAGCCAAGCTCCTTTGGCTCGGAGCCGAGCTCTTTAGGGTCGGAGCCGAGCTCCTTAAGCTCGGAGCCAGCTCCTTAAGCTCAGAGTCTTGTCTAAATAGATTTTCACGTGCTTTTTCTTCCGATATAAACCTCCTTATTGTTGTGTTTTACTCATTTGCTTCCAAGTCGTCGAACAGAAATGATCAATCTTCTAAGGAAGAAGCCATTTCTTGAATTGCTGGGCACGTCTAAGCCTGATCAACAACAAGCACTACTGGAAACAGCAACCGCCGAGCAAGTGCACTGCCTGTGTCTCTGTGTAGAAAACGTTATGAAAATTCCACTCCGGCCTTACAAACATGAAATGCTAAGGTTGGCAGATAGAGGAAAATGTGGAAGAAGAAAAAAACGGATATTCATTCAGCATGGTGGAGGTTTCCTTGGACTATTACTAAGTTTTATTTTGGAAAACCTGGCTGAACTTGTATAAAAGCCCTGTGACTACAATTTATACATCATTTCAACAATGAACTTCGACAGTAAAACATCATCTGAACAATAATGTCAAAAAAACTACAGCAGAAAAAATTCTACATTCTATTCTTATATCAAGCGATATTTTAACTTAGAATCCTCAGGGGGAGATTGTTTATCATAGAAGAGACATTCCTGGTACTAACATCGAGAACCTTTTACAATACGCCCTTTTACCATACAACTCTCACATTTCTGAACCACGAGGGCTCGACCTGTTTACAAAAGGCCTAGTAGAAGCCGGGGTTAATAAAGATTTAATTAAAAATGAGTATTTATTATCAAAAATGGCAAAGGAGGAATATGAAATGCCGCAATCTGACAGTGATGTTGAAAGCGAATCTGGCGAAGAGGCCAGGGAATCTGATAAGAGTGATAATGAAAGCGAATATGATGATGATGATGGTGATGATAATGAGGAGGACGACAATGATGATGATAATGAGGATGATGATGAGTCAGAGAAACTAGCTTGTAACCATTGTGGAAAAGAGAATGGTCACATTGTATACTTAATTAAGTGCCCAAGATGTTCGTGGAAAGATTTCTACTGGGGCAAAAATGCTCAATGTATGATATGTGATGAACAATCACCTCTACTGTTTTCGCATGTCATTAGTTTCTGCGAGTTATGTTCGTATGGTATGTCTAACAGCAAGGCGGGTGGAGTGGAGTTCACACCAAAAATGGCCAAATAAATGACCCAGCAGATTGGACCGAACGTGATCTAGCACGAATGACTGCGGAAGCAAAAGAGGATTATGAACGTTTTATATTGAGCGACCGACCAAAATATATTCCAATGAAGCGGGCGAAACTTGCAAAGTTATCCCCAGAAGATAGACAAGAGTATGAGAACACTTTAAAAATAATAAAAAACACCTAGACGTTACGTTCTTAGAAGTAGACCGTACTAAATTTTGTAAAACGTTTTGAAGAAATAAATGTATTTTAAAACTGAAATATTGTGCAAACATTTACCTGCAAAGCCCGCTCTTTCCGCCCGCGCGATTTGTCTAACCCGCCCTCCTGATCAGTGTACAAATATGTTGTACTTTAATATATGCATGCACCCGCAAAGCCACGCGCCTGATTTTAAGGTATACACCTGGGTTAAAAATAATCACTATCTATCCATCGGGATACACTTAGTTATGCAAATTCGTATTACCTTATTCCCCTTAATTACCTAAACGCCTCCTAATGACTTCGCACGCATAATAACGCAAATTTGCAAAGTTTAAAACATGTTTATTGATACAAATAACAGACGATAGTGTCAAAAAATATTACAACTGTTCTAATTCTAACTTCTATTCTTGATAAGCTTTCTTATGATCATCTTAACAGTATATATGTATGTAGGAGGATTGCTAAATAATGTTGAACAACATGCAAATATTGACCATAGCAACGACGTTGATAACCCAGGATTAGCAACTATTTAGTTTAAAATATGTCTTGATTTTGGTGACGAATAGATTCCTCGCTATGTAACATACGAAAAATCCTTCAATATACCTGTGGAAATTTTTCTTTTCCGACCAAAGATACGGCTATAACTCTGCTATATATTAATTTCGATAAAAATTTGCCATGCGAGGGACACGAACTATTCATAATCCCTCTATTGTATCACACACGTGGAGAGACGCTAATTAAGACGCTAACTAAGTTTTGTCCAATTTCGCCCGGACAGGCCCGCGTGACGTCAATGCATATAATTATGACGTATGTTAATTAATTAGTGCAATCTCACCCTCACTCACCCTCCACCACATTCCACCACCTCCACCACACTCCACCACCTCACCTCCATCACACTCCACCACACTCCATCACCACCACCACCACCACACCACCACCACCACCGCACCACGACCGCCACCACCACCGCCACCACCACCGCAAAAATCCGGATCGATCGGTACCTATAGTACTACTGGTAATAATATCTGAAAAATTATTTTTAATTTTATTGAAGTATATATATAAATATTATAATTTATAATTATAGTTTATAATACAATAAACAGAACAATAGAAGAGTGCTTGGTATTATTCCTCGTCCATTTGCTTAAGTGCACCAATCGCTGATCTCTTTCGGGGTTGAATCTCGATGGGCATTCAGTGAGACTGTGCCCAATGCGTTTAGCTACAGGTGTACTTTTGTTTCAACGCATACACGATAGACCAACTTCGGCCGCGTAATACATGGTTGCATAATAAATAAATTATTCTTGTTTTCAAAACAGCTGTGACGTGGAAAAAAAACCCCAAAAAACCGTTGCCGGTACAGAAATCACGTTTCCGGGGACAATGGTCGTTGTTCAATTGTGCAACTAATACACCCTTAAATGTGACTTTATGGTTTACGAAAAACCGAACATCTGAAGAGAAACGTCAAGTTATTGGTAAAAAGATAATATTGGTTTCTACGAATATATTCAACATAACACGCTTGACGAACAAGGATAGGGGATTTTACATATGCAGAGTTTGTGGAAAGGAAAAACAAATATTTGTTGAAATATTAAAAGGTAAACTTATTCTTAAAGTAATGCTTATTTAATTTATTGCCAAAATATTAAATTCGGCTGTCTCAGTGCAGTACGCACATTATCTACTTGGCAATGTTTTCTTGACGCATATTTTGTATATTTATACATACATGTGTTAATGCACTGATCACTGCAAAAAAAATCCATGTGTAATTTGGCTCAAAATCTTCGGGAAATAATGCACATACAATGCCTGAAATTCCTCAAATTTAATTTCTTTAGCAAGTAAATCTTTGCTCTATTTAATATTGTAAATTGGATAATTTACACAAAAAAATCAGAATGAATTTTCCCGTAAATAAGATTTATTTTACTTAGATATTTGAATCACATGTAGTTGGTGAATTACTTTCCTCAAGTTTTTGAATTGAGTCAAAATACTTGTTTAATTAAATACTTTATATGTTAGCAGCCGTACATTTCGCGAACCGACATTATTTTTCTTGTGGTGTTTATATGTTCCTATCCCTTAGCGTATAATGACGAAGGGAGACTATTAAAGGAATGCCGAATGGTTTTCCGTGCAGGATTGCGTGATCCATGCACGCGGGATGTTGCGAGACTTTCGGAAAGCGTAAAAATACACGAGCTGTAGGCGAGTGTATTTTTACGCTTTCCGAAAGTCGAGCAACA